TAAAATAACCAGACTCGCAAAACAATTCAAAGACCTTAGTACTCAATCGCAAAACTGGACCAGCAAAAGCTTCAGCAAACAAAACTTTCTAATGAAAGTTTTCTTTTGCGCAGTTGAATAAAAAAGTATTGTAATCAAACATAACGCATATGTCACACTGTTCAAATCAAATTATTGACAGTTCAAATGGAGATAAAAAGAAAAAAATTCACCGAGCTCTCTTGGTAGCTGGATCTCTCATTACCATACATTCCGTAACTTCGCCAAATTTGCCAAAATACTCGCGTAATCCATCTAGAAAGAAATGAACTTTATAATTGGAAACAAATAAACCAACTGCTAAAAAAAAACAACAAATTCATTAAAAGTCATTCAGCATCTGATCATTACACGAAATTTTCAAAAATTTAAAAAATTAAACCCTTACCGGCGGTAGTTTGCCAGCTCAGACCTCCAATAAACATCTTCCTGAAAATTGGAAATCATAAAATAGATACGTTTATTTCTCATCAAATTTTTACATCTTCTTAAGTTTATTAGCGAAAATTTCTCAGAAATACCATCACAAAGTAAAAAATAAAAATAGGAAATACCGTAGACAGTGCAGTAAGATATAAATGAAAGTAGTTTAATAACCTAATAAGCTAGCCAATAAGAGTAATTTACGCATTCTATGACTGCTAAAGAAACAGCTAATAGAAAAATAAAAGCTTTTTTTGTGGGGTCCATATATCACTAATAAACATAAGCTAAATAATGGCAATGTCAAAAAAAACCCATACAGTTATGTTAATCATCGGATTTGTGTTAAAACGAAAAAAGAGAATAACCATACCCAGGATCATTACACCCACTTGAGCCGTCATCTGAGCTTGGACTGAGATGTGTACCATCGTTTTCGTTATGGTGGTGCTCCATAGATGCTCTATCCATTTCTTTACTAATTTATTGTTGACTTCAGCTTACAATGTTACACGTATATAGGTTTACTTATTTTATCTTTTTTCTTTTAAACAAGAGTTCTGAAGTTTGGGAAAACTACTGTCTACACAACGCGCTTAGATGCGCCAACCTCGAAAGACAGGAATTACAGAAAAGGAAATACACTAGGTTCCGAGCTCTAGAAGCTCAGTCAATGAAGCTCGAGTTATAAGATTAACGTTATTACTGATGATACGACGACGCTAACGCGACGTCCAACTAAAATCCTGAAATAGAATTATATAATATCATTAAAAGTAAAATGAAGATAAGCAGCAAAACGTCGAAAAACTTGAACATTTTCAACAACAGAAAAAACCCTAGAATATTCACAAACAAACTAACACTAACGCTTTAGAGATACGACAGCGCACAAAAGAAAAATCAAAGTTCAAACAATAATTATCAGACAAAAACGAAATAGAAATGAGCTATTCGTTTTCTTATTGAATATGATTCCAGATAACCACTGCAGTTATTTTCTCGAGTTCACCAAAATGTGTAGCTTTCTCACCCAAAATTCACAACTAAAGTGGTAGGCATCAACAGTTGCAATATATAATGATAACATCAACAGCAAAAACATGTTCAGCTTCTGATTACGGCAATAACTGATCAATAGTGCTAAAAATCAGAAAAAATTTTAGAAAACTAAAAAATCGATTATTACATATCAGTAATCATGAACAATCATTATCAGAAGATGTAACAACAGCTCATTCATATATTTGCACTGTATCGATGACCTACCCCCCTCCCCCCCCCCACTCCCTTGCAATTTAGAGCGCAAGTAGAACAACAATATGACCAAAAACGTACTTATAATAACATCTGTTAAAAGTGGCAATGCGTTGAACATAAAAACGCGAAAAAAACTTTTTTGAGTAGAAAAAAAATTTTTTTTTTCTCCATCTGCGTTGGCCAACTTTATTTCAGCAACTCATTCGATGATATTCAATCGTCGGAGCCGAAAAACAACCCCAAGACTCCCACAATCTTCACAAATAATATTATACACATGGATTTAGCTGATAACTCAAATAACCATCATCATCACCACCGCCGTCGTCGTTATCGTCATAATGAATATAACCCGTTATAACGAAGAAGAAAAAAGAAAGAATAGAGATAAAATATAGAGAATAAAAAAATCAATTTTTTTAAAACAGAAGAAAATCTCACCAAATCTAACTTGGTTCAAATAAACCAACTCTAAATTCCAAAATCAACTTCAGTTTCAAAATTCTAAATAAAACACTTTAAGCTAAGACTTTCCTGCAAAAATGCTGAAAAAAAATAAACATTCAAATCTTTGTCATAAAGATTGTGGCCAAAAAGGAACAGAGAAATCAAAAACAAAAAACTTCCTCTTCAGACAACATATATATATATATATATATATATATATATATAT